TGGTATTTCAGAGGACATAGGCTGGTGGCGGTGGCTCATGCCTGTAATCCCAGCACTTTGGGAGGCTGAGGCATGCGGATCACAAGATCAGGAGTTTTAGACCAGCCTAGCCAACATGGTGAAACCCTGTCTCTAGAAAAAAAAAAATGGGCTGAGTGTTATGGCGGATGCCTGTAATCCCAGCTACTTGGGACGCTGAGGCAGAAGAATAGCTTGAACCAGAAGACAGGTTGCAGTGAGCCAAGATTGTACCACTGCACTCCAGTCTGAGTGAAAGAGTGAAATTCTGAGGCCGGGTGCGGTGGCTCACGCCTACAATCCCAGCACTTTGGGAGGCCAAGGCGGGTGGATCACGAGGTCAACAGATCAAGACCATCCTGGTCAACAAGGTGAAACCCCATCTCTACTAAAAATACAAAAATTAGCTAGGCATGGTGGTGCACGCCTGTAGTCCCAGCTACTCGGGAGGCTGAGGCAAGAGAATTGCTTGAACCCAGGAGGTGGAGGTTGCGGTGAGCCGAGATCGTGCCATTGCACTCCAGTCTGGGTAACAACAGGGAAATTTCCATCTCAAAAAAAAAAAAAAAGAGTGAAATTCTGTCTCAAAAAAAAAAGGACACAAATTTAATGTTAAGTGTGAACTCATGGAGAATCTAGATAGCAGTGACTTATTCTTTCCTAGGTTCTTAAATCTTCCTTTATCAAAAGCACTGCATTTTATTACTCATCACAAAAGAGATAATAAATAGTCTAAGTTAAACATAATTTTTTTTTTTTTTTTTTTTGAGACAGAGTTTCGCTCTTGTTACCCAGGCTGGAGTGCAATGGCGCGATCTCGGCTCATCGCAACCTCCACCTCCTGGGTTCAGGCAATTCTCCTGCCTCAGCCTCCTGAGTAGCTGGGATTACAGGCACACGCCACCATGCCCAGCTAATTTTTTGTATTTTTAGTAGAGATGGGGTTTCATCATATTGACCAGGATGGTCTTGATCTCTTGACCTTGTGATCCACCCGCCTCGGCCTCCCAAAGTGCTGGGATTACAGGCATGAGCCACTGCGCCCGGCACTGTGTTAACTATTATAGAATTGTTCATTGGTTGGCTTATGTGCCTGATAATAGAACCTCATTTGTCTTCTGTTACTTAAATCTAATGTGACTAAACGGAGCAAAGCTTCATTGCATTATGGCAAATTATATTTTCGCCAGGTAAACAACACTTTTATGGCCTATTGTCTGAGGACAGTAAAACCCTTTTGTAATCTAGAACCCAGAGATTGAGTCTGCTTGCCATCTACACTGCAGAAAGACTTCAGGAACTTGAACCTTGGATTGATAATGTCACAACTGAAAAAGTGCCCTCCAAACTCTTCCAATTGTATAGTCATTGGAAATCTTAAGGTAAAGATAAACAGGGAAGTTTCTCATGAAAAGCAGATGGCAGCATTGATGTAAATCACTTTTTTCATAGGATGAAAAATCAAGACATTTCTGCTATCATGATACTGTTAGAGCACTGCTTTTTTCTTATGGCTCTGCAAACAACAGAAATATAAAGGGGTCTCTTGGGTGCGCTCAATTTGCACCCAACATTATGTATGAACAAACTTATGCCTTGATAAGTAAAAGATAAAGTACCAATTTGGATGAGAAATTTTAGTGGGGTATCTCTTGCCTCATAATAACCTCATATTGGTCCACTGCTGTTAACCTAATTTGTAATTTAAAGATAATTCATTCAGAATAGGTTGAAGAGCATTACCACAATGCCATAACTCTTTTGAATGGGCATCATTCGTTAGTTTTTTTCCCAAGCTTAGATTAAATGAGACAATGGTTAGAAATTCATTTTCCATAATAGGGCTTTATACCATATTCTATTGTAAAGGCTATGGTTACACAATAGACTTTAATTTTTCTTAACTAAAGTTGTGCTAAATAATAGCATTTCTCTAGATTGCTTACTGGAGGAGCAAAGAACTATTTGTGCATTTGCTAGTACTTGTAGTTGCACATAGAGGAATACATCAAGTATTATAGAAATTCAGTTGTTGGAGATTAATAAATAGGCTGCTTGGTTGAAATGAGGAGATCATTTATGTAGCTAATTATTTGATCTATTTAATATTAGTTGGTGAGTTCATGGGACCCTGGCTAAAAAGAATACTTCAAACTCTTTAGTATTATCCTTCTTACAGTTAAAATATTAGTTTTGGGTGGGGCGCGGTGGCTCACACCTATAATCCCAGCACTTTGGGAGGCCGAGGCGGGTGGATCATGAGGTCAAAAGATTGAGACCATCCTAGTCAACAGGGTGAAGCCCCGTCTCTACTAAAAATACAAAAATTAGCTGGGCATGGTGGCGCGTGCCTGTAGTCCTAGCTACTGAGGAGGCTGAGGCAGGAGAATTGCCTGAACCCAGGAGGCGGAGGTTGCTATGAGCCGAGATTGTGCCATTGCACTCCAGCCTGGGTAACAACAGCGAAACTCCATCTCAAAAAATAAAATAAAATAAAATTGTAGTTTCCCTACTATGCTGTATTCTCTCAAAAGTTATAAATGTTTACATGCAGTCATTTCTAGAATGTCAAATGATCTCTCTTTGACAGAAACTCTAATACCTTTGTGACCATGAGAACACCATGGCCTGTGAATGACCTGATAAAGACAAAAACTAAAAATAATGGAAACTGAGATTTTCATTGAGACACTGAGGTTTGGTCACACTCTTACCTATGTGAGAACTTAACCAAAAGTGGGGAATTTCTTAAACATAATTGTTGGAGGCTATTCTTTTGCACTGAGCTTTTGCACTAGGCCCATAGAGATCAAATCAAACCAAATGGAGTCAGTCATACTAAATGTGACATAATCAAACTGAAAATTTAATGAAATAGGTAAGTCCTAAAATAGGCCAGGTTTGGTTATTCTTTTGAAAACAGCAGATTCCAATACAAGGAGGTCCCCTCTACTGTAACCCTTAAAAAAAAAAACAAAAAAACCTCAAGTTCTTTTTTTTTGAGAAGGAGTTTCGCTCTTGTTACCCAGGCTGGAGTGCAATGGCGCAATCTCAGCTCACCGCAACCTCCACCTCCTGGGCTCAGGCAATTCTCCTGCCTCAGCCTCCTGAGTAGCTGGGATTATAGGTACGTGCCACCATGCCTAGCTAATTTTTTGTTATTTTTAGTAGAGACAGGGTTTCACCATGTTGACCAGGGTGGTCTTGATCTCTTGACCTCGTGATCCACCCACCTGGGCCTCCCAAAGTGCTGGGATTACAGGCGTGAGCCACCGCGCCGGGCCCAAACCTCAAGATCTTGTTTCCACAGTGCCTACAGTTCTGCTATTTCACAGTGGAATCTGAGACAAAATATATTTTTGATCGTGATAGAGTAATATCAATGTCTAAAGTTTTGATCTATCTCTCAGAATTGAGAAGATGATCAAAAGGGAGAAATTATTTAATTATGCCTAAAGTTACCCCCTTTCCTCTTTAAATTTGGTCACTAGGGTTTTTTTTGTACACAGTAAACTGAAACCTAACTGGATATATAAATAGACTGTAACACATTGTTGTATCAGCCACTGTGTTTTTGCCAATAAAAGGACATCAGATGTTCAAATTATGTTTAAATAAGACAAATCCCAACCTGTAATCAATCTGGCTGTTTCTGTACCCCGCTTCCATTTTCTTTATGTCACTTTGCTTTTTCCATCCACAAATCTGTTTTCATCATGTGGCTGAGCTGGTCTCTCTTGAGCCTACTCTGGATTCACTGGCTGCCCAATTTGTAAATCAATCTATGCTCAAACTCTACTAAATTTAGTTTCTCAAAGTTTTTCTCTTTTAAAAGTTTTCAAATATTTTCTATGATAAATATAAATAATGTGCTATTGGGCTTTGATTTTCTAAGCTCATCCTTTAGTTATCTTCTAAAATTATTCTGTGTCTTCAAAATGCATCTCCATTTTTTTCTGTTTTTGAGACAGGGTCTCACTTTATCACTCTGTGGATGGCAGTGGTGCAACTAATCATGGCTCACTGCAGCCTTGACTTTCCAGGCTCAAGCAATCCTGCCTCCGCGACCTAAGTAGCTGGGTCTACAGACATGTAGCACTATGGCTGGCAAATTTTTTTCACGGAAACAAAATCTTACTATGTGGCCCAGGCTGCAATGGAACTCCCGAGTTTACATAATTCTCCCATCTCAGTCTCCCAAAGTGCTAGGATTACAGGTCTGAGCCACTATGTGCTTCTGCAATTTCCTTTACCCCACCCAACCTATAATTTCTTGAGAGGTTTATTCCCTATGGTAAGCAGTACTATATGAGCACAAACCTAAAAAAAATCTGGCTTCTTTTGTAGAAGTGTCACTATCCAGAATTTCAAGGGTTTCTGGCAGCTACTTTATTTATTTTTTTTATTTTTTTGAGACAGAGTTTCGCTCTTGCTGCCCAGGCGGGAGTGCAATGGCATGATCTCGGCTCACTGCAACCTCCGCCTCCCGGGTTCAAGTGATTCTCCTGCCTGAGCCTCCCGAATAGCTGGGATTATAGGCAGGTGCCACCACGCCCGGATAATTTTGTATTTTTAGTGGAGACAAGGTTTCTCCATGTTGGTCAGGCTGGTCAAAAACTCCTGACTTCAGGTGATCCACCCACCTCGGTTGCCCAAAGTGCTGGGATTACAGGCATGAGCCACCGCGCCTGGCCCCATACAATATATTTATAAATGCAAATGACCTTATACACAAGGATAAATGCAAATACCCTCTGGGGTAAGCCTGGCTCCGCTCAGGGAGGAAGCCCTGTCCGAGAAGCCTGCAACCTAGGCTGTCACTCTTCATTCAGCCCCGCATCGCATCACGTCTTCCGTCAATCATGGCTTGAGGGGCGGGGATTTAAACGTTCTCCAATCAGAGACGTTAAGACGGGAACCGTCCAATCAGCCACTCAGTTGAAGCGGACAGGGCGGCTTCCGGGTTTGGCGGGGCCTTTGTCTCTCGCTGCAGCCGGAGCTGCGGGTCTCGTCTTCGTTTTTGTGTCCTGTGCTCCTGGAGGCCCAGCCTCTGTGGCTCTGTGACCAGCAGGTATTAGGAGATCACAGCTAAGATGCCGGAATCCCCTGGAAGCCTAGAAATGGTGAGTGCCGGGTCAGATATCCGGAGAGAGAGGAAGGGCTGGTTGTAAAGGGTGGAAGTGGCTGTGGCAGGACTCGGGCCTTTCCAGTCAGCTCCACATTCTGCGCCCCGAGTTCTCCTGGCCCAGCTCAGCCTCAGTTCCCTTCAGGCATAAGATGGCGGCTGCACTGACAGCCGGGCAGGGGCGTCCTGTCTCTTCTTGTACAGTAACTGTGCCCTGGCCTGGAGCGCTCTCTGGGCAGCTCTGCACCCTCAGCGCCGCGTCTCCCAGATTGTACGGGGACCACGGGAGGGTCGTCAGGGGAGAATCTTGACAGGGTGATGATTCATGAATTGGAAGAGCTTTGGTTCGTGGGTTCCCAGTTCCTCTTTTCTCCTATTAAAAATGTAAAGGCCGGGTGCGGTGCCTCACGTCTGTAATACTAGTTCTTTGGGAGGCCAAGGTGGGCGGATCACCAAATCAGGGGTTCAAGACCAGCGTTGCTAGCATAGTGAAACTCCGTCTTTACTAAAAATACAAAAATTAGCTGGGCATTGTGGTGCATGCCCGTAGTCCCAGCTACTCGGGAGGCTGAGGCAGGAGAAATCAGTTGAACCTGGGAGGTAGAGGTTACAGTGAGCTGAGATCGCGCCACTGCACTCCAGCCTGGGTAACAGAGCAAGACTCTCGATTAAAAAAAAAAAAAGTACAGAAGTCGCTACAAAAATATTAAAGAATATAATCAAAGAGTAATTCAAAAATTGTAGAGCATTCAGCTATGGTTTGTAATTTGTGGCTTATGGGCAGAGCTTGAAGGAAAGACTTTTATAAGGATCATGATGAAGAAAACGAAGTTCATTAATTAGGTAGTTATGTCGTTTCTTAATTCGTACAATAAAGGTGAAAATTTTCTGGTTATGTAATCAGAACTTAATTGGCAATTTATAGTTGGTTAAGCCTGAAGTTTGTTTCTCTCGATGTAGTAATTTACAAAACAATGCATTTCAGTTAGGTTTTTTTTTTTTTTTTTTTTGAGATGGAGTCTCTTTCTTGATGTCCAGACTGGAGGGCAGTGACGACGCGGTGGAGCGATCTCGGCTCACTGTAACTTCCACCGCCTGGGTTCAAGCTTCTGCCTCAGCCTCCTGAGGAGCTTGGATTATAGGCGCCCACCACCCGGCTAATTTTTATACTTTTAGTATAGACGGGATTTCACCATGTTGGCCTGGTGAACCACCACGGCTGGTCTCGAACTCCTGACCTCAGGTGATCTGCCTGCCTCCGCCTCCCAAAGTCCTGGCATTACAGGTGTGAGCCACCTCACCCAGCCTCGTTAGATTTTTTAAAAAGTAGGAACCCAAAGACTAAAGACACCTCAGTCTAATTGCCTGCCACTCAATTATTTTCACACTCCGTGGGAAACTGGTTTCCTGCTGTATTTTTCTCATCTCCCAAGCAGGGAGTCTAACCCCCGGCCCCAACCTCACTTTTGGCTTTCAGTAAGATCTTAAATGTCCAGTTCCTTCTGGTGTTCCCAAATGCCAACTTTTTCTCCCTAACTCACATTATCACCTAATTGGCCTTTAGTGTACTCTTTTATACCGTATTTTAATTAATTATTTTCTGACAAAGCATTAAATGGCACTTTTAATTAGATTTGTTATCTGTAAATATTTCCCATGAGAAGAAATCAAAGAATAATCCCCTGACACTGTATTGTAGAAAATCTCTGTAGTCTTTTTTGTTTATCATCTGTGGGCACAGAGATCTTAGAATGTTTTTAAGTCAAGGTTTTACTTTGGAAACTTAATGGAGTGATATGTCCTCAGCTACCCTTCAGGGTTTTGTGTTTTTTTGTTTTTTTTTTTTTTTTGGTTCTGGTTTCAGTACTGTCTGGGGATAAACCAGGATACCTGCCATGGTTATGTCAGCTAGAGTGTCTAGTGGATCTCAGCTTCTGGGTTATTTTCTCCCATAGGAGAACCTGAGGTCTGAAGTATATCCTCTCAAAGAAGCAAATGGATGCCCTGGGGCTGAGAGGAATCTTCTGGCGTACTCTTTTTTTTTTTTGAGACAGAGTCTCACTCTGTCGCCAGGCATCAGGCTGGAGTGCAATGCACGATCTTGGCTCACTGCAACCTCCGACTCCCAGGTTCAAGCTTCAGCCTCCGGAGTAGCTGGGACTGCAGGTGCACACCCAGGCAATTTTTGTATTTTTAGTAGAGACGGGGTTTCACCGTGTTGGCCAGGATGGTCTCGATCTCTTGACCGCATGATCCACCCACCTCAGCCTCCAAAGTGCTGGGATTACAGACATGAACCACCTTGCCCGGCCCTTCTGGTGTACTCTTTGTATGAAAAGATAACCCCCTGAGATGTTAAAATTCTCTTCACCCAACCTGGCTTTCATTTCTTGGAGACATATTGCTGATCAGCCAATCAGATTCTGATATTGAGGGGAAAACAGAAATAATTTCTGCCCCCTGAATTCTCTAAGGGGGCAGAAAAATAGTAAAATAAATATAGTGAAAGTAAAATAATGGAAAAAAGTGAAACATTTCGGACAGATAAAATAGTATCCCAAAAGACCAAAAAAAAAAAAAAAACACTGACCCCAGTGAGATGGTGTAAGAACTTGCAAAGTAAAATGGCCCTAGGGCAGTCACTGGGACTTAATGCAGTGTCTCCTGAGTGGGTGGCTCCTGAGCACCTAAGTGAGCAGGAGTGGGTGGAAGAATCTCTCAAGTGATTGAATGGCCTGACTTGAAACATGAGTCAGACACATCTGTTTTTTACCAGTACTGCCACTCCCTGGGTTTGTCACCTTGAAAAGATATGTTCAGTTATTTTAACCTCAGGTTTTTTTGCTGTGAATTGTATTAGTAAGGCTTGAAAGGTTAGGAAAATATTTACAAAAGGCATAAAAGTGGTGGGTTTCACAAAAAATTAATATCTAATCATATATTCCATTCATTAAAAAATCTCTATTCCCCCTTTTTTTCCCCTGGTGTGAGTTTAGGAATTTTCTCAGGTGTGTTTTTTATGGCTGGGTAATTTCAAACAGAATTCCAAGGCTCAGCTTTTAGAATGCTACCAAGGAAATGAGTAGGGAAAATCTCTATTCCATTTTTGCTGTAGAAAATAAATACATTTCCACAAGAAAATGTGGTAGATAATTGGTGAGTTACATATATTCATGTAAACATAAGTTCCTCTTTCTGCAGGGTAAATTTGTAACAGTGGATATCTCTGTTCAAATCCTGTTATCTTGATTTCTGAGTTTCATGCTAAATTTTATAAGATGAAACTTGGTACTACCTAGAAGTTTTCCCATATGACTAATTGGTTACTAAATGATTTTTTTTTTTTTTTTTTTGAGACGGAGTTTCGCTCTTGTTACCCAGGCTGGAGTGTAATGGCGCGATCTTGGCTCACTGCAACCTCCGCCTCCTGGATTCAGGCAATTCTCCTGACTCAGCCTCCTGAGTAGCTGGGACTACAGGCATGCGCCACCATGCACAGCTAATTTTTTGTATTTTTAGTAGAGACAGGGTTTCACCTTGTTGACCAGGATGGTCTCGATCTCTTGACCTCGTGATCCACCCGCCTCGGCCTCCCAAAGTGCTGGGATTATAGGCGTGAGCCACCACGCCTGGCCACTAAATGATTTTTAATGGGATTAATGAAATAATGCTTATGTTAAAGAAACAGATACTTTTGCTTTTTTTAATGGAGGTATAAATTGCAGGCACCTTAAAATATCCTTCCCTTATATAATGAAGAAAACCAAGGTCATTGAACACCCGTATATGAACACTGTGTTTGAGTAATTTTGCTGGATTTTTCAAACACGTAGTTTCAAAAACCAAGTGAGTAACTCTAACATGGAAATTAAAGCTTGAGCCCCGTGACTCAGAGCCAAGGCTAATATTGAGCCTGCAAAAGGAGGTTATTAAAGGTCCTGTTAGTTTTTTCTGGAGAGCCTCTTCTGCAGATATCCCAACCTGCTCACGCCACCTATGGAAGAAGCTTTTTTGCTGAGAGAAGCTACAGAGTCCTGAAAAGCTGGGGCCCATAGGCAGATGCAGTTAAGGTTAAGATAAAAGGGGACTGAGAGGGTCTTACTGACGACGAAGTTGTTACTGTTTTAAGACAGTTTCTAGACTTTGTAATATGTAACAAAGTTAGATTTATGTTAAAAATTTGAATTCTAAAGGACTATTACAACAGGAGGAAATATCAACTATAAGACAGGTAAGGATTGCAAAGTTTAGGCAGACAAGGGAGGAACTAACAAGATTAGAAAGAAGGTGGGAGGGAAATGCTAAATGGAGGGTGATATAATCAGATTTTGGATTAGAGAATGTTTTACCCTGAAGGCAGCATGTTCTTAGGAGGGACATAAAATGGAGTTGCATATTGGCTCAGGCGGAGGGTAGCTCTAAGTTCAGGAGCCTGTGAAAAATTTTTTTTAGATTACTGAAGACAAATTCAGCTGATTTCTTTTAATGAGAAAAAGAAAATGTGCAGAGTTCTTACCGGAAAGGGATCACAATCCAAACTCCAAGAGAGGGTTCTTAGATTTTTTGCCCAAGAAAGAATTCAGGGTGAGTATAGAGTAAAGTAAAAGCAAGTTTATTAGAAAAGAGAAGGAATAAAAGAATTCTTACTCAATAGGCAGAGCAGCCCTGAGGGCTGCTGGTTGCCCATTTTTATGGTTATTTCTTGATTATATTCTAAACAAGGGATGGATTATTTATACTTCCCCAATTAGACAATATAAAGTAATGTCCTGATATTTCCATGATGTCTCCTTAGCATCTGTAAACTGTCATGGCACTGGTGGCGGTGGTCACTCTCATCCCTTCTTGGTTTTGTGGGTTTTATCAGCCAGGTTTTTATAACCTGTATCTTTTTTTTTTTTTTTTTGAGATGGAGTTTTGCTTTTGTTGCCCAGGCTGGAGTGCAATGGCATGATCTTGGCTCACTGCAACCTCCACCTCCCGGGTTCAAGCAATTCT